CCGACGTCGCTCCAATAGTCCGCCGTACACCCGTTGCTTGCTTCCCTCTTCCCCGACATACTTAGGACACTTTGGACATCCTCCAGCCTTTGAGCTGAGCCATCAGATCAGAGAGCGGATAGCACCATCATTCAGACTTACCATCCTTTCAGTGTGTAAAGCTAACGCTCCTTGATCAGAGGACTGTGAAGCTAGCTATCGAGCTCCCTGTCGACTCTCATTGTGGTCATTTCTGCCAGAAAGAAGAACGTTTATCACACTTTGCGAATCGCCATCGTCTTGGGAAAAAAAAGCAAGCAGAATGGCATCTGAAAGACAGTTGCTGGCCTCAATTCTTACCGCTGCTCTGGTATGCGACATGTCATGTTCTTCTAGCGGCTCCAAGTTCCCTCTGACCTTGTCTCATCTCTCCAGGCCGCTCTGCTACTAGCCGTCAAGAGACTCTATTTTCATCCTCTCTCACGCTACAATGGTCCTCGACTCTGGGCTCTTACCCGCTTGCCCTATATGTTTGCTTGCCGATCAGGCCAGCTTGCCCATAAAATCAAGCATTTTCACGAAGTATACGGCGAGACTGTACGCGTTGCTCCGAATGAGGTGTCTTTTATCAATCCTGATTCCGTGCGAGATATTTACAACAAGCGACCAAACCCTCATCTCAAAGGCCTACCAAAGGATCCAATCCGCCAGCCTCCGCCCAAACCTGGACAGCCGATTTCAATCCTTGAGGCTGGAGATGAAGACCACGCACGGATTCGCAAAGCATACTCATATTGCTTTAGCAACCAAGCTCTCGCAGCCCAAGAGCCTTTGGTGACCTCATATGTTGACAAGATGGTGGCGCATCTGAAAGCCCGTGCTGCGAAACGAGGAGAGACTGTAGACCTACAGCAATGGATCAGCTACTGCACTTTCGACATTATCTGCTCGCTTAGCTTTGGAGAGGATTTTGGCTGCCTAGAAAATGATCGTTACCACGAATGGGTGGGAATGTTGGTTTTCTCATTGAAGGCCAAGGTCCAGCTAGCGGCCTGTCGCTTCTATCCCTGGCTTTTCCAGCTTCTTTTGAAAACGATACCAAAATCCGCACAGGAAATGCTGGCAAAGCACCAAGCAACCACACGGGAGAAAGTGCAAACCCGCCTGAGTGTGTCCGTTGAGCGCCCAGACTTTCTTTCACACCTTCAAAAATCGAAAAAGGGGCTCACTGACGGCGAAATTGAGATAAATGCAGCAACCTTGATTGTTGCCGGCAGCCACACTGTCCAGTCAACAATCATGGGGATAGTCTTTCACTTGCTTCAAAACCCTGCGATCCTTGCACGAGTCACGAAAGAAGTCCGTAGTGCTTTCCCGAGCGAAGAGGACATGGACGCAAGAAAGTTAATGGCGCTGCCTATTCTCGGGGCAGCAATCAAGGAGGGAATGAGACTGACATCTCCGCTGCCGTTAGGTGTCACAAGACTAGTACCACCAGGAGGAGTGACCATCTGTGGCGCATTTTTCCCAGAGGGCGTAAGTTATATGATACCCGTATTGCGTCTACGAGTACGAGGCTGACCCTGACCTATGAAGACTATTGTCTCATACATGCCATGGGCTGCCCATTTATCGCCAACACATTTTACGGATCCCACCCGTTTTGTATTGGAGCGGTGGCTTGACCCAGATAATGCTCCTGAAGCGGCCCGCTTTCGCAACGACCGGAGAGACGCGTTTCGGCCGTTCTTACAAGGCCCCCGAGACTGCATTGGAAAGAATTTGGCAAAAATGGAGATTGTGCTTATACTGGGCCGCCTCTTCTACCACTTTGACCTGTCTTTTCCCGAGGGAATTGAGTCAATTGGCAAGTGGGAAGACAAGGAGACGTACGTGGTCTGGGCCAAGTCTCCACTCCCAGTCCTCTTGACGCCGGTGCAGTGAAGAAAACAAAATAATAAAAGGGGCGATTTGTATCCATTTCAGGAATGCTACGGTGGCCTGATACAGGTAATAAACTAGTGAAATGAAGACGATCGATTTCATTCTTATAAACGGTTTAGACACATCTTGCTAATCTCTCCACTGCTAAAGCTACGAAGTTCGCTGACTAGCAATGTCTTTGAAAAGGTAAATCTGGCAGAAAAGGTCTGTCGCTCCTACGAAAACCTTGAGCATGCTCGTGACGTCGGGCTCGACTACCTTTTCCAATTCTGTCAACGCAACCTCCAATCTTTTCCGCTCATATTCTGCCAAGTGGTAGAGACGCGCTTTCAGTTCTTCTTCATCTTTGGCTGCTGGCACGGTCGATGACTCTGAGGACGCGAATGGAGATAACTCGTGCAGCTCCGGAAAGTTGATGCTGTTCAGATTCCCCTCTTTCCGGTCGCGTGCGACGGAGCCCAAATCGTTGTACATCCGACATAGTGTCGCGAGGGCACGGCAAGCATCATCAGCTATATACTTTGCCGACACCGATGGGAAGAAGTCTTCTTTTCGTCGCGCACGCAGACTGCATGCAAACGCAAACGAGTAAGGACACGAAGTGTGGTTTGGCCCGACGCGCTCTTCAGTTCGCCATCCATGCTGCTGTCTGCCTGACAGATCCGGCAGACAGCGGAATGGAGCGACGGCGTCCCTGGCCAGGTCCGCGTGGTGACCCAGGCTCGGAAATGCGCCAGACACTCGTTGGCCGTCGACGCCTGGAAGCAGATCTCCGGGCACGTCAGGTCCATCTGCAATTCCGCAATGACCATGCGGGGCGGCGTGTTGTAGAAGATGGCAAAGCCGGTGTCGAGGAGAAAAACGTAGGTGAGCGTGCTTGTCGCCATCGTTAGCCATGACATGACATGACATGAATGCGCATTCGTACCGGATCAACTCCTCCTCCGCGATGAATTGAGACCACCACGACTGCGAGAGAGCCCCGCAGGGGAGGTCTCGATGGGTCGCACTGCTCATCCCAAAGTTCCTGGCGACCTGACAAGCGCTCTCAACAGAATGCCCGACATGCAGCAGAGGAATCGACAGGCGTCCTTACCGTGATCACTGTGGGTTAGCGGTACCGCCGGATCCGCCGCTTCGCTTCATCCGAACCCTCCCAGTTCTGGAACAGGCAGACCAGATATACTGACTGGAGCAGCTGGAGTCTCTTGCGTCTGGCGGCCCCGGTTTCGGAGCGGCGTAGGGGTCCGGACATGGGATCTTCGCGAATCCACTCGTCGTTGAAGGCCATCTCCTCGACCCCGTTAAACCACAGTTTCGCAGTCTCATGGTCCGACTCGTGAGGGGACAGACAGGCCCCGATGATGACCATTGCCGCCAGCAGCACCGCGGACGATCCCTGTGCGTTGAACGTCGGCTTGTGGACAATCGGGCAGTTCGGATACCACAGCGACCAGAAGAGTTGGAGGAACCGCCGCAGATTCCGCGGCGCAAAGAACTGGACGCATACCTCCTCCATCAGGCGCGACCAGTTCATGGATATGATGCTGTGATCGGATTTGCGGCAGGTGGCCTGTTTGAGCCGATCCACGATCTCGTGAGTCTTGATCGCCAGCGGATCGAAAGGCCAGTTCGTCCACGACGACGGCGTTTTGGCAACCATTTCGCTGGTCCCCGGACTTGCCTCAAGGGCCAGTCCGCGACTCAGCCGCCCGAGTCGCTCGTGAACCTCGTCGTCATGTCCAATCAGCAAACTCGGGTCGAAATCGAGATCGAGATCGAGATTCTCGGGTGGCGGTCTGATGAGGCTGGCCCCGTCATGGCTTGAAACTGCACCAGGCAGGCCAGGGCAGGGATCGGCCTCGGCCTCGGGGTCGAGAGCGATCTGCTGCCGCTGGGAATGGGTCCCGCATTCAAACGAGTCGGCGAAGCCATTCACGCTGGTGAACCGGGTGAGGAACTCCAGCTTCCGCAGCTTCTTCTCCAGGGTCGCCGCCTGGGCGAGATCGCGCGGTTCGTTCTCGGACGAGCACAGCACGGACGGAGACAGGTCCCAGTCGATGTAGTCGAATCCGAAGGGCATGTCCGTGGGCACGTCCTCGGACGGACTCGGGAGACTGCAGGATTCTTCTCCCGTCAGGACTGGTCCGGTCGATGGGTGGAAGCTCAGCGCCTCGTTGGATGATGATGACGATGGCATCTCAACCGCTCCGTCTTCTCCATGGCCAGCCAGGCCCACGGTCGCATCCGCATGAGTCGGAGCCGGTGCGCAAGGAGCGAGGGTGGCTCGATGGGGAAACTTGCTGCTGGTCTCCGCGTGTCCAGCGTCGGCCAGTCTCCAGTAGGAACAGGTCTCCTGCCGCGACTGGCAGGATTCGCAGGGATATCCAGCGCTGCAGGCCTTCTTGAGCCGGACACATCGGTCACAGGCTTTCCGTTTCTTCCCTCTGCTGGCGTTCTGCGCGTCGAGGATGTCGACCCCGCTGCTCAGACAGGGCTTTCATGTTTTCCAATGCCGTTTCAGAACGTCTCTGCTCCTCCCCATTAGACAATACGTGATCGCCATGAAGGGTCGGTATATGTAGGTAATGTACAGTACCTGCGCTTAAACGTCCGTCCACAGAAGGTGCATTCAAATGGTCGTCCAGGTCCATCTTGGCAGCCAGGAGTTAGCTAGCCTCATCAACAAGGAAAAGTACAAGTAACCATGGGCAGGTAGGATATAAAACGGGTGTCGAGGACATACGCGAAGCCAGGTGGCGCTGGAGGTGCTCGAGACGACGGAAACTCGCAGAACATATGGAGCATTGCAATGTCGAGTCGGACGCCATGGGCATGATTCATTCATCGGATCTGTTGTGGATGATCTATCTCCGTGACGGGTCGGTCTGGGGGGTATGGAAGCGGCCTTCAAGAGTACATGTATTGAGTATGTATTATGGATTAATTAGTTGTAGTAGTAATCACAATATATTATTATGGATATAGGAAATTAGAGAAGGTCAGCAGGACCCTGAGCAACTCCTTTCTTTCCCGGTATTTTATTTTTTTTTACCCCGCTTTCTCTTTCCCGCGCGTGGAGATCCTGTGGGGAGCGATCCAGAAAATAAATAATAATCATCGATACTGTACATGATTAATTATTATTGGATGCTATGCGTTCTTCCCCGGAATCGACTCTGCCGGGCATGGATGGAGAACTTTCAATGTAATGCAATTACACGATTTTTTAAAATGTTCATCATTTTTTTTCTTTTTTTTAACAATTTTTAAACCACCAAAAGAGCAAAAAGACGAAAAGACAATTGCGCCAAAAGTAGAGAAATAAATTTCCTTTTTTTCCACCCCCCCAACGCATAGTCACTGTTTTCAAAAAAAATAAGGCCATTTTTGTTTCTTTTAAATCAACGTGATATTACCGTGTGCATCCCTACCACCCCTAACAAGAACTATAATATAATATGGATTCACGACTCCCTCGTTAACCAAAACAGGAGAGATCATTACTCGAGAGTCTTAATATCCTGCATTCTTGCTCATCTTGCATCTTGCATCTGGGGAGGCATAAATATAACGACAAAATGGAGGAGCTGGAAAAGCATGGTTAGCATCGAACTAATAGTTCCTAACCCAAAGTCATACTTCCAAGCCTGTCGACGCAACTCGTACAGACTCATGGTTCGATCTCAACAATTGACAGCTAGGTTAGGGAAGTCTTATTTTGTGGTCCCTTTGCTATCAACTCTGTCTGATGTGACTGGGGCGGCGGACTTTCCCCAACAATGTTGGAGCGGGAAATTCCCACAGTATACTCCACGAGGATGTCGGGATTGAAACAGAAGCTTCATTGTCCGGCAGGCGCTGGCACCGAGGAATTTATGGAGATGCCGCCAGGTGCGCTTGTTGAATCTATCATCTTCATCCTCCGTGACGATCCTGGGATCGATGATGACGATGCAACTACCCCTCCGTCAAAGGGCAGCCGTGCTCAAGGTACGTCGGTTGACAACCATCCACCGTAATAGTACTACTACTGACGAACTTGTCAATGACATCAGAGGCAAGGCAAGGCCCCTCTTTTCGAGATCGAAGACATTCCTCTGCCGGAACCGGGCCCGACGGATCTTCTGGTCAGGCTGTCGGCGACCGGAATCTGTGGGACGGATTTGGCGTTGGCTTCTGGAGAGCTTGGGCCGGCATGCCGGATCCTCGGACACGAGGGAATCGGACGGGTCGTCAAACGAGGCTCCTCGCTGACGGAGTCCGATGTCCCGCTCGGCCAGAGGGTTGGCATCTCGTGGGTCAGGGACACGTGCAGAAGCTGTGCAATGTGTCTCCGTGACGGCGGAGAGACGCGCTGCGTGGCACAGATACACTCCGGACGCAGGGTCGATGGCACCTTTGCCGAGTTCACGGTCGTCCCGTTCCGGTATATGATTCGACTGCCCGAAGGCCCCTCGGACGAGGAATTGGCTCCGATCATGTGCGGTGGAGTCACAGCATACAAAGTGCTCAAGATCTGTGGTGCGCCCCCTGGCCAGTGGATCGTCATATCGGGAGCTGGTGGAGGACTGGGAGCCTTGGGGATTCAGTATGGCCGGGCAATGGGATACAGAGTCTTGGCTATTGATTCGGGGAGCCAGAAGAGGGAGTACTGCTTAGGGCTGCAGGCCGAAGCCTACCTGGATGTGAGCAAGGAGAATGACATCTCGGCGGCTGTGAAGCGATTGACAGGGGGTCAAGGCGCCAGCGCCGTTCTTGTCACTGCGGGCTCTGCTCAAGCGTACCAGGATGCCCTGGACATGCTGGCCCCGTTTGGGACCCTGGTTTGTGTCGGCATCCCTCCGCCTTCGCAGTCTGTTCACTTTCATCCGCTGGCGTTGATTGACCGTGGATTCCGCATCGTCGGCTCCATGGTCGGGAGCAGGGGCGATATCCAAGAGGCCGTTGATTTCGTCCGCAGGAGAGAAGTGATTCACCGAGTACACCTGACGACGTTGGATCGCATCATGGAAATCGCGAATCCACACGCATCTACCAACCAGGTTCGTCAGAGTCCCTTCCACTCTGCTGCAGTATATGTATTTGTGCGCTGACCTTCCTCACGCAGGTGATCGGCAAATTCGTGATTAAACTAGACTGCTAAAGTATTTCGAGGAAGTAATGGAACTTGTTTCGCATCTCAATTGAGAACAGACGGATTGATTCAACTTGTAGCATTATAGTTCGTTGGGTCCGGGAGTGTGGATTTATATCCTATTGCTGGAAGAGAGTGCTGCTTGCTGAAGAGCTGAAAAGCTGGAGGAAATTGAAGTGAATAGCAGATTTCATGATCAAAAAAATAGTCAGAACAGAGTCATCATGATTCCGAAAATGAGCTCCGTATGGGAGATGTCCAAGTAAGTCATTTTAATGCCCGCGCTCTTTGTTTGTAATCCAGAAGTCCTTTTGGATGGAAAACCACTGGGATTTGGTCACCCACGGTCGTTCTGGATTGACCACGTCTGCATCAAAGTGCCGCAAGAACTGGGCGATGAACTTGTGCACTTCGACCAGCGCAATATTCTTACCGACACAGCTGCGACTTCCCATTCCGAACTGTGGGTGAGTATACATATATTAGCACCTGTATTGAAACTCACTCTTGAATGGGAACTTACTGTTGTTAAAAGACTGTTCATGGTCGATATCCGTTCTTTTTCTTCCTCGTTCGAGGCAATCCAGCGCTCCGGTTTCCATTCATCTGCGTCGTCACCGAATATCTCCTTCGAACGGTTCATGGAAGTCGCGCTGATACTGCAGATCGTTCCTGGCCTCATGTAATACGGGCCGATTTGGACACCAGAGGAAGGCACCACGCGTGGCAATTGATAGGAGATGGATGGGTGCAGCCTCATGCTCTCCTTGATCACCGCGGACAGATATGGCAGCCTTTCAGCGTCCTTGAACGATATCTCCTGCCCAGGGTCCTGCAGGCCCAAACTGGTATACGCCTGATCGATCTCCTGCTGCAGCTTCTGGCGTTCAGGACGATGCAGGAGCAGAGCACTAAGAACCGCCAGAATGACAATCGAAGTCGTATCGGCCCCCGCACCGAGAATATTCACGCCCTCGATCATGACGTCTCCCTTCCAAACCGGTTTGCCGTCCATGTCCTTTGCCTCGATAAAATGCTGGAGCATATCTTTGCGTCTGTCCCCCAGGCCGTTCTTCATCCGCTCCGACACACGACGATCCAGCCAGTCAAGGAAGATGGAGAAAGAGTTGAGGCGTTTGCCACCGAATCTCTTGATGAGCCACTGGGCCAGGGCATTGTTGATCCAGAACATCTGCCCGGGGATATTTCCCATGTTGGCCATGAGATAGAACCCATCGTGGATGCTTCGGATGATCCCGTCCACGTCTCGACCTTGCTCGATGAAGCCGATCTTGCCCCCCAGTGCCAGCTGTCCCACGATGTCGAAGGCGAATTAATTCGCCCAGAGATGCATGGGCACCGGCTTGCCAGCCCGGCTGAACTGCCGGAATTTCGCCCACGTTTCCGTCGCAACATCCTGGATGAAGGGCTCCATGGAAAGGATGGAACTCATCGAGTACGCAGCAGAGACGCGAGACCTCAGGTGCCGGTGCAGCTTGATGTCGGTTGCCGCAAAGAAGCTGTCATGTTCGGCACGATCCAGGTGTCGTACCAGTTCGACTGCCCAGCAGTTAGGAACAGAACAGAACAGAACAGAACAGAACCCATAGGGCGGCGGCATCTCATCATCGACACATACATACCTTTTGCACTTGCTTTCCCAGTCCGTAGAGAGCCTTCAGCGCCGAGCTATCGACGAAGCTGACCTCGTTTGGGGCGATGCGCACCACGCTTCCGTACGTGCGGTGGAGCTGCACGACGTAGTGATGCCATGAGCCTCGGAAGTATCGAATGTTGCGCCAGCTCTGGCTGAAACGGGCCAGCAACGGGCCAGGCACTTTTCGGAGCGGGTGGAAGAAAATACAGTAGACGATCTGGGCCAGATACACACACCACAATGCCGCTAAGCATGTGCGAAACGATATGTTGCCCAGGACGGAAAATGTATGATTCTGGTCGAGGTTGTTCGCCAGATCATGGGGAATGTATCTGGCGACGGTGACGAGGGCGGCACCGATCAAGGTATGGTTCTTCTCCATGGCTGCGCTGAGGTAGGATGAGTGAACCAGAAAAGGATCAATCATCCAGCCTCTCCACCGACTTCATCCGTGGCCTCAAATACCTTTGATTGCGTGAGTCAGGATGCACCTTCCACCCCGATCTGATTTCCCCGCATCTCACTCTCATTGTGGGGGGGGGGAAGAACTTTATTGATAGTCCACCGGAGATCTTGGAGTGTGAACCTGTATAGAGAAGAATACAAGTGATGGATCACTGCCGTCACTGTCTGATGATGATGATGATCATCTCCACTGTGGAAATATCCCGAGTCCATATACGAGGGCGGAGCGGGGGTGGGGGAAGCGTGGCCTTCCTTCAACAAACCAATATGTCTTTTCACACGCCCTGCTGCGGTCTGCAAGGAAGCGTTACAGTCTTCAAGTCTATTGATGTGTGCATGCACTTGTACGGTACATACATACAATGGTCCGCCAAGGCACGCCTCTCGCACTACCGCCCAACACCGACCCAGAGACCTTTGAACGATATATCAGCCACATTCGCGAAATCGTCGGAAACAATGTTACGGTCATTGACTCGATCGAGCAGCCCCAGACGGCTCGTATCTGAACCAGCCATATGCCCATGATCCCCATTACCTCTTGGAAAAGGATCATCTGCTGGCATCGGCCGTGATATGCCCCCGGTCTGTTCCCGAGGTCCAGGAGATTGTCAAGCTGTCCAACCAGTTCCAGATTCCTCTCTGGCCAATCTCGATCGGTCGGAATTCTGGCTATGGAGGCGCAGCCCCGCGTCTCCGCGGCAGCGTGGTCGTCGATCTGGGACGGCACATGAATCGCATCCTGGAAGTCAATGTGGAAGGGGCCTATGCGCTCGTCGAGCCAGGGGTTACGTTCAAGAACCTCCATGATTATTTGGTCCAACACAACCTAAGAGATAAGTTGTGGATCGATGTCGGTTTTCCCGGCCGTGGTTGTTGTGAATGCTCCTGCTGACGGGCGCACAGGTACCGGACTTGGGAGGCGGCTCTGTCATGGGGAATTGTCTGGAGAGAGGGGTTGGGTACACCCCATATGGAGGTCAGTTGACAATCCAGATTGACACCGCAGAGGAATATCTCTCATTGAATGGACACAGACCATTGGATGATGCATTGCGGCATGGAGGTTGTCCTCCCAAATGGCGAGTTGCTCCGGACCGGCATGGGAGCGATGCCACAGCCACGGAATCCCGGAGACAAACCCGTCAGACTGGATGAGGAACCGGGAAACAAGTGCTGGCAACTCTTCCCGTACGGATTTGGCCCGTACAACGACGGGCTCTTCTCTCAGGGCAGCGTAGGGATTGTGACCAAGATGGGGATCTGGGTATGACGCGCCTCGATTGGGATTTCGATCTCCTTCCCTCTGCCCGTCCAGGAGTGCTAACAGCTGCTTCTGTGATCATTATGTAGCTCATGCCCAATCCCGGCGGATACCAGGCCTACCTGATCACGTTCCCCAAGGAGGAAGATCTGCACAAGGCTGTGGACATCATCCGACCCCTCCGGCTCGTACGTCTGTCCCCGAACACGCGCGAACGTGGGAGAAGGCCACCAGACTGACTTGGCTCTGCTGGCAGCAAATGATCATCCAGAATGTCCCCACCATCCGTCACATCCTGTTGGACGCAGCAGTGATGGGGAAAAAATCCGACTACACCTCGTCGAACGAGCCCATTGATGATGCGGGGCTGGATGCAATTGCCAGAAAGCTGAACCTCGGAAGATGGAACTTCTACGGGGCTCTCTACGTAAGTCGCGACAAAAACAGTGTCCAAAAGGACAGGCTAACCTCTGATGGATCTGCTCCAGGGACCGGAGAAAACCCGGAACATGCTCTGGGGGATCATCAAAGAAGCGTTCTCGGCCGTCGAAGGCGCCCGGTTCTTCTTTCCGGAGGACATCCAGGAATACTGTGTCCTCCATACCAGGCACCAGACGCTGCAGGGCATCCCCACGTTCGACGAACTCAAGTGGCTCAACTGGGTCCCCAACGGCGCCCATCTGTTCTTCTCTCCGATCAGCAAGATCTCTGGCGATGATGCGATGCTGCAGTACTCCGTCACCAAGAAACGATGCCTGGAAGCAGGGCTGGATTTCATCGGCACGTTCTGCGTGGGCATGCGGGAGATGCGTACGACAGACATCCCTTTTTTTTTCTCCGAAGTTATCTTCTTCAATCGATCGATTTGCTAATTGACGGGGCCACATTTAGATCACATCGTCTGCATCATCTTCGACCGGAAAGACCCCGCGTCGAGACAGAAAGCGCACTGGCTGATCAAGACGCTGATTGCGGACTGCGCGGCGCACGGCTGGGGCGAATACCGCACCCACCTGGCGCTCATGGACCAGATCGCCGAAACGTATAACTGGAACAGCAACGTCTTGATGCGCTTCAATGAGACCGTCAAGAACGCGCTCGATCCCAAGGGCATCCTGGCTCCCGGGAAGAACGGCATCTGGCCGTCATCGTACCCGAGACAGCTGTACAAGTTGTAGGCTATTCGCTGCAAGAGCTCTATCGCCACTTGAACCAAGAAGCCGATTTCCCTTTTTTCACCGCTATCTTCCATGTCTTCGTTCCGAATCTCGCAGTTTGGTGTGTTGGGAAGGAGACAGATGCAACATTGTCAATCGTTGACGGAAAGAAAAGATTGGGGAAAAAATATAAGTTCGGGATGTATGCAGTACTCTCGTAGACTGGGGAGATATTTATAATAAAATACCTCAGGCATCACCTCTGCTCCTGGTAGTACTATTATTAGTAGACTCGCTAGTCTCCTCCTTTTGAATAACTTACTACCTTAGTAAATAGGTATGGTAAGTCATTATTAAAATAATACACAACTCCCTTCAAGGTTAAGTATGTAAGTATTCAATTCCAGTATATTTTAGAAGCCAAGGTAATTAATAAATCTTAATACTGATTCTCTTCTGACTCTCTCTTTTTTTAAATGCTTTGTTAGCAACCGTCTGGAAACGATATAAAGTAGACAGCTTAATGATATATCTTCGAGCAAAATCTAATCCTTGCTTTTATAGGCATTCAGATCCCTCCTGGTCATGTAACTCGGTCTTGTCATTCCTTCTGGCACAATATAAACCTTTTACCAGAAGTCTCTGGTACATGCGACCATAGGGTGTGGAAAACAGGGCTTCCCGTCCGCTCAGCCGTACTTAAGCCACACGCCGGCTGGTTAGTAGTTGGGTGGGTGACCACCAGCGAATCCCAGCTGTTGCATGTTTTTACTTTTTTTTTACCCTTTTTTTTTTGACATTCTGTTGATGCTCATATTCCGCATGTCATCTTGCTTTTGTTTACAGAGAACTCTGGTGACTATGTTCGAGTTCGGAGATAGCGGGGATTAGTCCGATGGAGGGGTATAATCCATTAGCCTAGGTAAACACTGCTCGGTACCTGGAGCAGGCAGTTAACTGCCGTCCATCCATCCCTTTACTTTTGCCGTCATTTGTTTGAACCTTGGCATGGTATCCTTGCTGCACAAAAGGGTTCCTGTCTTGATACGTCCTCGACCCAGCATTCCTCCTACTGCCTCCCCAAAGTACCATTCTGCGCCAGCAGCGACCATGGCGTCTGCACTGAGCATTCAGACGAAATACCGGATGAACTCCGGGTATGAGATGCCTGTGCTTGGCTTTGGGGTGAGTTTGAGCCTCTTTCAAATCATTAAATTGTACAGTACAGTACATGTGCATACATACTGTCCTGTACTGTATGTACATACTACAACGGCTAGAGTACAAACATGGACAGCACTCACACCTGACGCATAGGTCTATCAAACGTATGAATTGATTTGCGAATCTTGCTCGAGTCTATGCTGATGGAATCCAGCCCCGCTGATATCTGCAAAGACGTCGTGTTGAAGGCGTTGAGTGTTGGGTACCGACATGTAGGTTGTTCCCTGCTCTGTCCGGACTTAACTGACTGACTGCAACAGGTCGACTCGGCCATTATGTACCGCAATGAAAAGGCCTGCGGTGAGGCCATCAAGGAGTCTGGCATTCCGCGGTCGGAGATCTTCTTCACGACCAAGATCCCGTCCAAGCATCTGGGCTACGAGAAGAGCAAAACGGCCATTGACTCGAGCCTTCGCGAGGCGGGGCAAGAGTACTTTGATCTGTGAGTATTTTTATATTTTTCTTCAGTCTCCCTCCCTCCCTCTCTCTCTTCCTCTCTCTAACTGATTTTTAGAATCCTCATCCACGACCCGTACGCGTCCAAGGAAGACCGCCTGGGCACCTGGCGCGCACTGGTCGAGGCCAAGAAAGCAGGCAAAGTGCGGTCAATTGGCGTGTCCAACTGGGGCGTGCACCACCTGGACGAGCTGGAGGAGTACATCCAGAAGAAGCTCGGCGGCGACGGGGCCATCGACGTGGGGCAGTACGAGCTGCACCCGTGGCTGACGCGGCCCGACATTGTCAACTGGCTCAGGAAGCGGAATGTCGTCGTGCAGGCGTACTGTCCGGTGGTTCGGGCCAAGCGGTTCGACGAGCCGGTGGTCAAGACGCTGGCAGAGAAGTACCACAAGACGCCGGCGCAGATTCTGCTGCGATGGAGCTTGCAGAAGGTAGACCTTTCATATTCTCACTTCTTTGATGATCACTAATCGTCCAACCTAACCAGGACTTTGTTCCGCTGCCCAAGTCCGTCACTCCAAGCCGGATCGAGGAGAATGCCGACATCTTTGACTTTGAGTTGACCAAGGAGGACATGGATGCGCTGACTACCGACGAGTATTCGCCGGTGGCGTGGGATCCAACTAAGTCCAGGGATTAGAAGCATGACTGATAGATAGCACGATGTGGATTATTTCTGCGAGAGTGTATATACCGATGCCGACAGTTTCGGATAACATCATGCAGGAATTCCCGATCAGTCCTTCTGTATTTTCTTTCCAATATTAGTCCGGGAGGATCCTTCGCATCGTGCATCTCTACATGGATGTCTCTATCTTGCTGGTTCATGCCACTAGCTGTATCCAGACATTGGTAATTATAAGATTGCTAAAAGAGTCACCATTTTAGTACAAGCAGAAGAAATATTATACTACATATACGGATTATACACTTTCTAATTAATTCCTTCATCCACTATTTATTAATTAATTTTAAAGCCAACCTCCTCCTTATGCAAACGACAAAGGAACTTCTACTTAACCTATACCGTGCTCTACTTCAGAAGTTCTTTATTTAGTAAGTAGGCAGTCAGATATAAAATGTCCAACTTCATTAAAGAAAAAAAGCAGTAACTCAAGAGATATATTATTGCTATTAATAATCAATTAAGTGCACAGCGATGGGATGGTAATATTAGGTAATATTGTTACGATAACTATTACCTCCGGTGTAATTAATAGCTTACTTTACTGCCCGCCCGCTGACTGTCGGAGAACATCCCCGCTCTACATACTCTGCTCATGCGCCAACCTGATCTCGCTGACTACCTGTTTGTTGAAGAGGGGGGAAAAAAATTATAAACACACAGTTGAAAACACGCAGTCGACACTGCATGGCAGCCGTGCTCTTCTGACACGATGAAGCTCATCCTCTCCACCTCGTAAGTTACCCCGCCAGAGTGAGCGAAAGGAACGGAAAAATCCAATCTGCCCCGTTGCGATACGATTCCTCCGATCATTGCATTCTTCCTACCTGCAACGCATGCATACAGCTACATATCGACATGACAAGCTAACTGACAGCTGACTTCCCATGCAGCAATATCATGAAATCCGGCCCGTCGGTAGTCCGGCTACCGACGGAAAAGTCCAACGTCGAACTGATCAATTCGCTGCGGTCGAACTTTGTCGCTGCGCAGGAGGCGGCGCAATCACAATCACAATCGCAATCACAAGAGAATAAAACTGGCGACTGGACGAAAACAGAAGGCGACACGCTCTACATCCCCGCGATCGACTTCACGCAGTCCGGCCTGACGGAGGAGCGCGGCCAGTACGACATCACCGTTAAACTGTTCTACCTCCCTGGTATCCCGGCGTCGCGGCGATGCGCGCACACCCGCCAGGCGATCGACCTCGTGCTGAAGGAGCTGCATATCGACACGATCGATCTGCTGATTGTCTCGTTTCCGGGGGTGTCGTTTGATGCGGATGACGAGACAGAAGATAACGACAACGACGATGATAATCAGTCGAGGGCAGGCAGTGGTAGCGATGGTAGTGGTAGCGGAGGGAGTAGTACCAGCGAGCCCGACGACTTCGACAGCATGGTCCGCACATGGCACACGCTGGAGACGCTGCAGCAAAACGGCATGATCGCGCAGCTGGGCGTGGCCGAGTTTGGCAGCGACCGGCTGGCCAAGTTCCTGCCGCACACGCGCGTGCGCCCCTCGGTCGACCAGATCAACGTCAAGGACTGCTGCGTCGTGCCCAAGTCGCTGATTCTGTACGCCAAGCAGGAAGGGATCCAGCTGCTGACGCACAACGACTGCACCGACATCCTGCCGCGGGGCACGACGCGCGAGCTGCTGGGGCCCGGCGAGAAGGGGGCGGGCATTCTGGCGTCGTCGCCGGATGCGAGCGACGGCCTGCAGGGCGATATTGAGCCGCAGTGGGTGGTCAAGTATACGGCGGTGGTCAAGGACCGCGGCGTGATTGAGAGCAAGGGGTATTTTGCGTTTGCGGAGGTGGGCAGCTGTATCCAGACGGGGGATCGAGAATAATTTTCAGCGGGCCGTCTTATTCAGCGAGATGTTTCTCAGCGAGTATGTTTCATTCAGCGAGGCGTTTGGGTTTGTCTTTTTTGTTTTTTTTTTTATGGGGTCATGTGGTTCAGCATAGACTGGTGTTTAATGCATAAGAATTCCACTTTATTCACTTCATTCAAATCGTATTTATTCATAAGCATAAATTCGTAAAAAAAAAACGTAGAAAAACGTAGAAATCCTGCATCTACCCAACCATACTTCTCTTCCGCCCTCGCATACGCACCTCCTCCAGCCGACGCAGCACCGTACTGGCCCCCTTGAAACTCTCTTTGTAGGCCTGGAGCAGTACCTCGTGAAAGAATTTTTCCGTCCGCGGATGCGTGCTGCCGAACGCCCGCTCCAGCACGTACAGATCCACGGCGCGGTCCTCCTCGTGCACGCTCTGCGAGGCGAGGCCGAAGTCGATGAGGACGATGTCGCCGGTCATGGAGGGGGGTGAGTCGTCTGCCGTTTCTGAACTGTCTGAAGACGATTGCTGCTGCTGCTCGATAGGTGTACTGCTGCGCAAGATCAGATTGCTCGTCGTCAAGTCGCCGTGGATAACGCCTGCCTTGTGCATGCTGCCTACGGCGCGACCAATGCGGCGCATCAGGTCCTTGACGCGCTCCTCTTCTCGTTTTTGGATCTCGTCGAGCTGGTTCTGGTTGTCTCCCTGCTGGAGCAGCTTCTTCATCCACGTCTCCCATCGCTCCAGCACTGCCCGCACTGCAGGCCCTTCAATCCACTCCATGAGCAGCCACGCTCCTGCCGGTCTCTCATTCTGACTGCTGGTATTCGTACTCCCCTCCCAATCCACGGCCAGCACACCCGGCACTCGCACGCCCTCGCGCACGAGCTTCGCCAGACACCGCGCCTCGTGCAGCACGCGCTGCCGCGTCAGCCGGCGGTCGAGGATGGGGTGGCGGTAGGGCTTCGACGGACGGACTTTCAGCGCGGCGGGCGTCGAGTCGTTCAGAAAGGTCGTTTTGTATAGTCGTGCTTCGGCGCCTTGGGCGAGGAGGGTGGGCGGTGGGGTTGTGTGCGTGAACGGAGGGGGGAGGGGCGCGGCAGTCATGTCGTCGAGTCTTTCAGAGGCTTTCTTTCTGTCAGAGTCTTTCAGGACTGTTTGTTTTCGCTCAGAGACTCTATTTTATAGTGAGTGGGTTTGTTAGGAAGAGGATTCTTGCTGTGACTGACTGACTGACTGACGACTGACTGCGCGGAGAAAAGATGAAGTTGTCCGGGACGGTTCCGAAGTGGGGCTTGGCTCGATAAGAAATCCCATGGGTATTCTTCTTTCTTTCTTTCTAACGACTATTTAATATTCTCTTTAGGTCACTATACTCTGTCTGTATCTATACAGTTCTACTGTATATACAGTTTCATCCTGTTATACACTCTCCTCAATGGCAGCCACCTCCGCCATCACCCTGCGGACATTCTCCTTGGCCGCCTCGCTGGCCTCCTCGTACGGCGTGCGCGGCTTGAACTTCTCTTCAGCGTTTTCAATGCCCGCCTTGGGCGCCGTAAAGATGGCTGCCGCATACTTGGTCGTCGCGATACCGCTCTTGCAGGGACTTTCCGCCAGAGCAGCCTTCCGGTGCAGCGCCAACGCCTCCTCCGTCTTGCCCGCCTTGTACAGCTCGTAGATGCGCGACACCGTCTTGGGGAACACGTTAGCGAACGCCGCGATGCACCCAGCTGACCCCACGGCCAGCCCGCCCAGCAGGAAGTCGGACTGTCCGCCATAGACGGCGAACTCGTCTGGCGCAAACGTGGCCGTCAGCCGCGTGATCTTGCCGACCTGCGCGCAGGTCAGCTTGACGCCGACGACGTTGCTGACGCCCGAGGGGGAGTCTGCGGCAGACGCGCGCACGATGTCGGTCATGGTCTCCGAGTCGATGTCGACGCCGTTGGTCACGCCGGGGAAGTTGTAGATGACGACGGGCAGGGGCGCCTGGCGCGCGACGTCGGCGAAGAAGCGCTTGACGACGGATGGCGTGGTCGCTTTTCCGTAGTACGCTGGAGGCAGCACGAGCAGGTAGTTTGCGCCTGCTTTGGCCGCGTCGTGCGCCAGTTCGAGCGTCTGCTTGGTCGAGTGGGCGCCCACGCCGGCCATGAGGGGGAAGTCGGGCCCGACGGCCTCGCGCGCGGTCGCGATGAGCTGGGCGCGCTCCTCGCGCGTGAGCAGGAAGGCCTCGGCGTTGGTGCCCAGGATGACGAGCCCCGCGAGGCCAGAGCGTGCCAGGTAGGCGTAGTATTTGCGCTGCGAGGCCAGGTCGAGCGTGTCGGTGGCCGGGTCGAAGAGCGTCACGGCGGGACACCAGACGCCAGGTTTGGGGATGCGGGGCTGGGGGGGAGACAGGAGGCATGTCGACGAGTAGCACGCTGAGCAGTAGAAGAAGAAAAGAGTGGATTCTGCAGTAGAAATAGGATCGATCAGCGTATAACAGATCGATCAGCTATGGTTTATATGCCAGTCTTGCTATCGCTTCCCCGCCGGACATCGGAGAACGGGCCGGTGCTGTTTGTCGCCAGGAAAAGAATCCGAGATAGCAGCAGCAGTAACAACCTTTGCTAGGATAATTATTTCACATCTGGCAATGCTTGCTTTCTTTGTCTCATAATTTTTTAAAATTATTCTCTTTTTTTTCTTACCCCTCGAGTTTTCTATAGAAACTGACTCATCCTTAAAGAGTATATACTTTGGGTTGCCTCCCTAGGTGAATAGCATCCTTGTTCTTAATAAGGGTACTAACGTTCCTAAGTATATAGAAGAGATTGGGTAGTACCTTGCTAGTATCCTTAAAAAAATAGGGTTGCCTAATAATAGGGTAAAAGACTAAGAAGGAAAATAGATAGAGGATTATCTAATTTCTATCTACATTATTCTATCGTAACCATTCTAACCAACGGTGACAAGTCTTTATCTATATATGTCCTGCTATACACCCTGAACAAATAAACGCCAACTAATCCCTGTCCATGCAGTATATATGCCACGCAATATGCATATCTATCCTCTCGCGTATTCGATCATAAACCAACGATCCACAGCCCCACCAACCCCAGAAGCAGCATTACGCTGCTCGACACGACAGTCCGCACCGCCGCAGAAGCATGCGCCGTGGACGTGCTGCTGCCGGACGTGCTATTGCTGCTACTACTGCTGCTGCTGTTGCTGCTGCCGCCGTTGCGACTCACGTCAAAATACATCGACGCAACCGGCAGTTCCAGCCCCGCTGAGCGTACGAACTGGGGCAGCTTAAAGCCAATGCGGTTGGTGTAGTCGCTCCGATTCAGCGGCATAGCATAGCGGAACTCCGCAGGGATGGAGAAATTGGCCGGCTGGCGGAACAGCAGCAGCGTGTAGTGGTGGGTAGGCGGGCCGACGATGGGGTCGGGCGCGATGTACGGCGCGACAGGCGGCTGGTTGGACGTCAGGGCGTAGAAATTGTTACTGTTCTTCTTGTCGGACAGCGTCAGGTCCGTCTGCAGCATCTGCAGCGCGTCGAGCGTGCCGTTGTCGCCGTAGGGCGAGGGGTCGATGTAGAGGTACATAAAGGGCCCGTTGTCGTTGGCCAGGCGGTCGTAGAGACCGACTGTGGGGGCGGATTGGACTTCTGTTGTGACGATTCTCAGTCAGCGCTGTTTCACAAACTGCGACGATATGTGAATAGGTATAACGTACGATCAACCCCCAACGACTGGCCACCATGGTCCACGATCGTGCCGTTGAAATCGACGACGAGCGGCTCGCCCGTCTGGTACAGGAAGCCCGGGAAGGTCTGGCAGGCGGCGAGGCTCACCAGAAGCGGAAACAGAAGGGGCCGCATTGCGCAGGACTGACTATAAACAGAAAAAAAAAATCACAGAAAGTCAAGCATCAGGGATAAATAAGAAAAAGAAGACAAGAAGACGAAAAAACCGGGACAATGCTGATATTTGTTGCCAGATGCTGGCTGGCCTAACTGTATGTAAAGTTATCCTACGCAGCAGCGTTTAGTCTGTCGGAATGTAGCATTTGCTGCGGCTGCGGCTGGATTTGCGCACATGATTGGCTGGCTAGTCCATGGGGAGCGATTAGGCGTACCGCCGAGAACGGATACACTGCCAGAGCAGAGCAGGGATATTGTTCACCAGCTAAGATACTTACGTACAGAGTACTAGTATAATAATCTATGCTTCCATTAATACCAATAAAAGTGTAGCCTCCCTGCTCTAACAGTGCTGAATGCCAATTGATCGACTTGACATACTCCGTAATCTGTCGAACCGTCACGTGCGGCGAGCTAAACCGAATGCGGTGGGGTCGCGGTTCGCCCCCACGTCACGTGGCGGGAGTGGAGCGGCCGAGGACCCTGCGCTAAAAAATCATGACTAAGCCCTTAGTCAGGAAGATACCTTCGGAGTAAAACAATTCGAGTCTACGGAATAATTTGACAGAATGTACGGAGTTTAGAATCCTGGTGTCAATTGGGCAAGAATTCAATGTTTATCTATTTAAAGAAGCAGATTTTATACTCAACTCGTCAACTAGACCGGGCTTTCTTTTCTCCGCGTCACATGGCGAGTCTTGGCAACCCCGCTAATGCAGGTCGCTGACAGCCTGTCAACTGGATGGCGGGCCTGAACCACAGACGATGGAATCGATCAGGATGTACTCCGGAGTACGACTCTATTCTCACATTCTATTAACTGACTCTAGTTGACCAGCGTGTATCGGTACCGCGCCTTCCCATTCGCCATGTCCACCACCGCCCGGTTGGCCTCCTTCATCGGCACTTGCTGGATCCACGGCCGCACCTTCTTGTCCGCCGCCAGCTGCAGCATCTCCTCGATCTCGTGCGGCGCCCCGATCAGGCTGCCCGTCACCTTGATGCCCTTGAGGATCAGCGAGAAGGCGTCGAACCCGGGCAGCGTATCTTCCGGCGCCCCGACCTGCACGAACGTGCCCTTCCGCCGCAGCAGCTTCAGGTAGCCCGCCAGCGGCATGTCCGGGGACGACACCGTCGACACGATCAGGTCGAGCGTGTCGGCGTGCTTCTGCGCCCAGTTCTCCTCCTCGCCGGTCGCGATGAATTCGTCGGCCCCCATTTGCAGGGCGTCGGCCTTCTTCGCGCTCGAGCGCGAGATGGCAACCACCTTTTCAGCGCCCAGCGCTTTGGCAAACAGCAGTCCAAAGTGGCCTAAATAAACACGGTCAGAGAGAATTCGTCACGGAAGCAGCAAGTAGCAAGCTCATGGCAAGCTTACCCAGTCCTCCAATTCCTACAATGCCCACCCTCTTCGCCGTCGTCCCGCATCCGTTCTTCTTCAACGGCGAGTACACGGTGATTCCACCACACAGCATGGGCGCGGCCTCGGCCGAGTCGAGCGCATCAGGGATCTTGAAGACGAAGTGGCCCGGGGTGCGGTTGTAGTTGGCATAGCCGCCGTAGGACTTGCTTCCGTCGGGATAGACCGAGTTGTACGTGTCGACGCGATGAGCGCAGCCGGGCTCCTCGCCGGACGTGCACTCTGCACACTCGGGCTTCAGACAGCTGCTGGCCTGCGCGCCGACGCCGACACGATCGCCGACCTTGATGCCGCGCTCCTGCGCTGCCCGCGACCCGACGCGGACGGCGCGGCCGACGATCTCGTGGCCGACAACGCAGGGGTAGTTCGTCGGGTGCCAGCCAGACCGCAGGGTGTGGATGTCGGAGAAGCAGATGCCGCAGTGGGTGATCTCGATGTCGACGTCGTCTTCAGTAAAGGGCTTGGGCTCGAACGGGCCCCATTGGAGGTTGCCGTTGACGCTGTTCTTGTCGTGGGCCAACCAGCCGTAGAATTTTGTGTCCGCCATTTTCACCGTAGAAGATGTGGTCACGATCGATCAATGTTTGACGAGTACAGAGCATAGAGAAGGGAGATCCTCCCTATATATAAACAGCAGAAACAGTCAGGCCGCCATCGAAGGAGATGGAACACGAAAGATCCATCCCTCCTCCCTCCATTCTGACCTTGACCTTCCTCCTTCACCGAGAACTGGAAACTGGAGATTAGACAGGTATAAACCCCGAAGTCCGGTAGCCCTGCCCCAGTTTTGACACATTCAGCATTTCAGGATTAATAATAAAATCGCTTATACACGGCGCGATGCCGGTACCAGTGGGTCCTGGTTTTCCCATATCGAGGAAAGGAAGCGGTCTGTGGCTGCTGGCAGCTGTTCCTCCGCAGTTAAATTTAAGTATAGTTATTAGTTATTCTTCACGAATCGCGAATCGTGGCATCTCCACATCTGCCACCTAAAAAAAAAAGAAAGAGACTAAAATTAGGTACTGTACCTACCTACCTAAGGTAAGGGACCTGCCATTTAGGTTAGGTATGTATCTAGATAGATAGAACTATTACTTACGGAGTAGATTGGTAGGGGTGTCGAAATAAAATTCGCGCTAATGCAAGTTGCTTATTCCTTCGACACGGGATGGTATCACCATATCATGGTGCTAGTGACTATATCCGTGGATGGGATGGGATATACTCTGACTCTGACTTTTAATTAAGAGCGCACGGGACGGAGATTAACTTTCTAACCTCCATATTACTACCTACCTGGTACCTACCACCTAACTTAGGTACCCAGGTGACGTATTTAGTTGAAGTTTGTCAGCTTCAGCAGTTGATACCTGTTGATCATGCGGTGATATACAAACATACTGTACATACATACATACAGTAGGATATTATACCCTTTTGTACCCTTTTCTTCTTGTCTTAGATTTTTGCTGCACCTTTTTTTTTAAAAAAAAATTCTTCCCAACATAGCCAAAGTACGTTCTTATCTATTTAATGGATATAGATATCGATATTGTGATAGTACTGTATATACAATCAAAAGAGAGTGTGGTACGGAAGTATAAGGTGGCATCACATGCTAAAACTCATCGATCTAGAGAGAGGGGCTGTGGATGTTTTATCGTGAGTTTTCGCATATGTTGAACCCTATGTAAAGCCAGGCCCCTCGGCATTTGGTGTTTACTGATTTTGAAGTTGCCAATTGAGTTCTGTTGTTTTTTTTTTTTTTTCTTTTCTTTTTTTTGCGTTCGTTGCTGCTAGCTTTAAGTATTTAATGAAGCTAGGTATTCTTTTATTTTCCTTATGCCGTTGCCTATCTAGTTTTTAGCTAGTTGCTTTCTTTACTAGCCTCCAGCTTATTGCTAGAGATTCTTATAATTTTCTACTTATTTAAGTGCTAGGAAGGATTTTCTTGCTATAGCTTTCTCAAGGAGTTTGTTATATACTAATGTTAGATAAGGAGAGTTGTAATATCAACACCTAATTCTCAGGTCGTAGACAAGCTTTTACATGTCGTCGGAATCGATGTAAGCGGATTCAGGTAATTTTTCGGCACCAGCTGGACCAGAGGCACAGATCCGCAATGAATAAAGGATCACCTCTGTAATTGCAGAAGGAGGTTGAGATTACCTTGAAGCCTGCGGAATGACCTGGTATCTAAATCTATCTAAGACACCTCTACAAAAGACACTACCATATCTGTCAGAGCCCCCTGTTGCTTGTGGTTTACAAATGACAGCTGGTTTTGCCAGGAAAAGCTGGTTCGGCTACCCTAATATGCTGCAGTCAAGGCACTTGAGCATAGCCTAGTGTAGTTGGAAAGTTGAGAGACTGATCTGAGCAAGGTTCGCTGATAAGCTTTACCTGATGTTGGTTTGCCATTATTTGGAGGACAAAGTTCTTGTGAGGAATAGCATAGCCCTGCTTCTCTTGTACTTGCCTGCCAGTAGCAGTGGGTTCATTGGTGTAGAGGATAAGACTTTTGGAAACTTAGAAGCCTTTGACTAAGAAAGCAGCAGATAATTGGTTGAGCCAGGTCTCAATATTTATTAGTAATAACTGGGAAGGGCAACTATACTAGCAACTTATTAATAGAAAAAAAAAGGAGGGGGGGGGGGGGGGTCGAATTTCTTTGTGGTTGACTGTTGATAGACCTAAATTATAGTGTTCGACTCTTAATCTAAAATGTTGGAAGTTGTAAGATCTTTGCTGCCAAACCTCTGGCGTTGGGTACTAAAGAGCTATTGCTTTGCTCATGGACCAGCTTTGAATTGATAGTTTGCATATATTAGAAAGCATTCCCTTTCGAATTCTATTTAAAAGGTGTGATTTTAAAATACCTAACCTTACTGATACTAAAAGGCCTCTATGCTGATTAAAAAACCACACTTTTATATAAACCTTTGTTAAGATAAGCCTCAGAACCATAGCCAGTAAATATACTTGACTCCCAATTTATAACTGCAGTGCACAACGTTTCATTAGGAGGCCAATCGGAGTCAACAGGCGAGGCCGGCGTTTTTGGTCATGGATGGTCAACTAGAATAGATGGATATTGAACAGAGCAAATTCAAACTTCCTACCCTCATGTATAAGCATCGCCTCCAGAGCCTTTAATTGATTTGCTGCGAGACATGCATGTCAAACGCGAGATACGAGTGCTAAGGATACGTTGCGTTCACCGTAGACGAATCATTTGGGTTGTTGGCTTGGCATCTGGACATCTTAGCGTTGCGGGTGTCACTATCAATTTGAGTCGTAACATGTTATTATGTCGGTTATCACATATATATACAGCCACTCTCGTAGCCAACTTAAGCGCCCACACGCGCCCACACCGTTTATGGCGTCATGAGATCCTGCAATGCCTGCCCTATAGTATTAATACAACTTGGCAGTGTTGAAAACGATCAGCCTCTTGCTGCCCAATTCTGCGGGTATGCCGGTTCCTTATTTATTTAATGGTCTTTGTGTCGTCATGTTTCTGCATTTCAGTCACAGTTTCTATTTCCCACTTGGTCCAACGCTTTTACTTCTAATAACCAACTTGTTGGCTCGTCTATCTTATATACTAAATACTCTCGACCACAATCTTCCATTACATCTGAACACAAGGAAGAGGTGGTCTTAATAACCAGAAAAACAGCTCTCATCCAAGGTAGCGCCACATGGAACCCCATTTTGTAAGCAGAGCATAAAACCTGATATTGCCATGTAGACTGCCGACTTAACATGACTGCGAGCTCGGGAGCAACAGGAGCATGTCGTAACAAGCATTGCGAACATTTCAACAATGAGCATAACACCTATACGTGCAAGGCATATATGGATGCAGGAAAACTTGGAAGATCTGTCAGACGGGCGATCATGGGTTTAATAAGTGGGCGATTTGTCGAAAATGTAAAGATTACCCCCGGCTGGGGGCCCAGATGGATTTACTGAATGGGTTGATTTGACAGAATAATGTCGGACTAGGATGTCCATTGAATGTCAGGAGACAGTTGATAATTAATGAAAGGCTAATTAATCCACTCGCTGCAGCCATCGACTGATCAATGACTTCCCTTTTGAGGAATCAGGAGAGCTATCCACCGAACCCGACTCGTCTTCTGAGCATTCCGAGTCTTCCAAGTCCAGCCAGGGGTGCTTTCTTATAGCTGCTTCATTTGATGGATATCCTGTGTTCCTTAGCCAGCTAAAAATATTGCGTGTAGCAACCTCGGACAGTTCGTGGGACTGAAGGGTCCAAGCATGTTGAATAGCTGGAGAACTGCCCTTGGTAACCACTGGGTTAGGTCTGGCAGCACACCTATTAAAACCTTCATCGCAGAGGCTGGCGGCGGAGCCATTCATATCCCAGCACCAGTGCTTATACCGCAAATAATGCCCTTTGCATTGTGCATGAGCTCGGACTTGAGTCTCCGTATCAGAGAGTAGAGTAGTACCAAATGGCTTCCAGGGACAGACCGGGGCTCTTGAATGTTCTTTGCTTCCAGAGATAAACAAAAGGCGACACTCGTCTGAACGATTAATTCTGAACCCCCCAATAGCGCAAGGTGAAGGTGGTTCAATGGTAATAAAAGACTGGGGCGTCGACGTCCACGCCGAGGCGTGTAATTCAATTGCCATCTGACCAGAATGGATGACTCGAAGAATCGATTGTGCTGCCCCGGTAAGGATCGCTCCCAGCCAAAGGGGTCCGAGACTAGGTTGCCTCCTAGTCATCACCTTCACCAGTAGTTGCCAATCCCCTTGTTTCGTTATTTCATTGATAACTCCAAATGCCGGTTCCAACCACGGGCTGACCAAATTGCAGTAAATCTCAGGGTCAAAAAACGTACTGCAGAGAAGAGACCGTATACCCCAAATATTGCAACTTAATGTCATGTAGTAACACAGGAGCCTGCCTTCTGCTTCAACATGTCCTAGTGACGGTGATAGTGGCAGTGTGCAGCCTCGAGTTTGCGAGGAGATATTTGCATTCGGCCGGGGATAGGGTCGTGGGAGAGGAAGGGTAGCAGTTGCATCGTTATGAAACGGTATGAACAAGGCGGCTGTTAGAGCAGCGGCGCATTGACCGTAGAGGCCATAAGTCGCACAAAATTCGGACAAGAACCGCAAGGCATCTGCGGCGGACGGTGGAGAAGATTCGTTATCCGGATGATTGATGATGCCTCGAAGACTTAAAGGCCGGGAAGAAGTAACGCTCACTGACCATGGTGATCGGTAGACTTGGCCGT